GCGTTCTATGTTTGGTACACAGATGTTCTCAGACTTCTGTCAGACAACCCCTGCTTCTTCAAATCAAGCCCAATCTGCTGTCTCAAAGCTCCCTCTATTACATCCTGCTTCAGTCTCTGACTGTAATGGCATGGACGTTGAAACCCAAGATACATGGATTTTTGAGTCTCATTCCTTCTTTCCTGACAGCACAACTTGAACTTCCATCTATAGATATAATTATGCCTGGAAATCTTTTTTTTGCCTGGTGGGATCAGTCAATTCAGTGCAAGAGATCATTCTGTGTCTTGTATTCTGGCCTTCCTATAAATGGGTCTTGACCAGAATTTGGGTACCCTTGACACCCTTAAAGGGTAGATATCGGCCATATCCATCTTTTTCCAAAGGCCTCTGGCTTTGCACCCCCTCATAAAAACCTTTTATTCAAGATTTTGCTTATATCAGACCCCCTGCTTGTGCTTCCCTGGGACCTTAATTTGGTTATCTCTGCCTTTTTAGAAACAACCCTTGGAACCCATCAAGGCTAATACCCTGGAGATTTTTGCAGCAAAGTAGCCTTTTGGTAGCTATCACACGAGACATGTCGCTAAACTGGTGGCCCTTTCCTGTAAAAAGGGCATTCCATTTCAATGAGGACATTGTTCTGCCATCCTTGTGCCCTGTTCCTTAGCATCCAAAGGAATTGCATAGTAGTATTAGTAGTACGTAGTATTAGAGTATACCTAAAAGCTACTGCTTTTATTAAACGAATAAAAGACACCCTGCTTCAAAATCTACCATTGCACGGTGGATAAGGGGCTTGAGTGCAAGAACTTATGCTCTTAACCAAAAACCTTCTCCTGTGTTGTTGCCCACTCCACCAGATCTGTAGGAATTTCCTGGGCATTTGGGCACTAAACCTTCCAGTCATACTTTTCTCAAAGTTTTATCAGGTGGATATCTTCTGCAGATGCAGCTTTTGGCTACAGCACTTTGAACTTGGGTCCTTTAACTCCTGTGTTTTTGGCTTGTTGGCACAGTTTGTTTGCCTAATTGTTGCCCACATTTTGTAGTCCTTGTTATGGGGAAGTATTATATGAATATGTTGCCTGGGTCTTGTACTGTACAATGAAGATAAAAGGATTTTAACTTGCCATATATTGGCGTACAGGACACCCCTTTCTTTTCAAATCCTTTTTTTGGTTTACTCTGCATTGCTTGCTATAAAATTGAAGACTCACTGAGTGGGGGAGGGTTATGGGGAATTCACCCCAGGGGAGCATATGCTTCAAAAGTTTGCCAGTGTCCAATCACCTGAAGGTATACGCCGATACTGTACAACCCCAATTCCAAAAAAGTTGGGACGCTGTGCAAGATCTATATAAAAATTGAATGCAATGATTTACTAATCTATTAAATCCATATTTTATTCACAATAGAAAATAGAAAACATATTCAATGTTTAAGCTGAGAAAATGTACACTATTAAGAAAAATAAATAGGTTCATTTTGAAAGTGATGGCAGCAAAACGTCTCAAAGTTGGGACAGGGCCTTGTTTACCACAGTGTATAGCCCTGGCCAAAAGTTTTGAGAATGACACAAATTATAATTTTCACAAAGTCTGCTGCTTCAATGTTTTCAGATCTTTTTGTCAGATGTTCCTATGGTATACTGAAGTATAATTACAAGCATTTCATAAGTGGCAAAGGCTTTTATTGACAATTTGTCTGACCACTAAACAGTTTTCCAATTAGCAACAGACCATTTTAAATGCGGTTTGCCCCAGAAAAGATGGCAGAGTTTACATATCAAGTTCAGATATGTCTTCTTCTTTGTATGAGAGAGAACCTTTAAGGTGGAACTTCACTCTGTCAACATTGACTATTTTAATCCTTATGCTGCTACCTTTAGTAAATGGATAGGAAAGTATCATATTTTTCTTTAAACTTTTTTTATTTTATTTTTTTTTTACATTTCTTCAGTTACTTCCTGGTTTCCATGCCTAGGAAAATGATGTCATACATCCCAGCTGTGTTTAGGAGAGGAGGGAGGGTCCTTAGTTCATCCTATGCCTGAGCCAAGGGCAGATGGATTCCAGGATATAATTGCTACATGAATCGTCTATTACTCAAGATGGCCACTGCCAGAAATGCCAGGGGTCTTTTTAAAAATTATTTCTCAGCAAAATAAAGCATGGAGACATGGATGGATGGGGGAAGTTTGCTTTGAATATTAAAAATGAATTAAATAGCATTTTTGGTTTGTGGTGCTCAGATGCAGGGCAGTCCCACTTTTAACTTGCATTTTTGAATAGCACAGCTAACTGTGTTCAAGGACACCTGTGATTTCAGCTGCAAGAATCTACTCATTATTGCAGCAAGAATCTACTGAATCTTGGAGCAGGAATCCACAGTATGGACCAAAAAGCCTATGCAAATGAGGCCTTAAGTGACAGTAATCCCTAGTTTAGAAAAAAAATCTGTACCTTCTCAAAGTGTCAACATTAGCACTCCCCCCCCCTTTTTTTTTTTTTTTTTTTAAACTTTGATCTGCTTTACTGTTAGAGAGTCGCTATGTTTGTTCTCTGCTGTATATAGGTTCATAACCCTTTCCTTCTCACTCCTGAGATGGACTAGGGATTATGAACTATAGAATGTGTATCGTTTATGGAGCAATCCACATGGGCGAAACAAATGCCCACTGCTCTTTCCTAAGAAATGTCACAGGAAATGTTAAATGGAGGCAGAAGAACACAGTAAAAAGCAATTTAATCAAAATTAGATTAACTGCTTTCCTGCCGCCTTATAGCAGAAATACTGCTAAAGGGCGGCAGGAGTGTGCAAAATGTGTATATATACATGTGATTTTTGCATTTCCAGGTAGGGGGTGCACGCCGTCATTGGTGGCGTCACCTGTTGATCACCAGGTACCGTCGCCCCAGATAATAACCCCTTCCTGCCCAGTGTCAGTGCTTTTTATTAGCACTATTGGTGTCACTGGAGATGTCAGTGACAGTCAGTTCCCCCCCCCAGTGTCAGAATGCCAGCCGCAGTCCCGCTATAGATCACTGCCATTACTAGTATTTAAAAAAAAAAAAAAAATTCCAGTATCTATATCGCCATTTGTAGATGCTATAACTTTCAAATAAACCAATTAATTTACACGTATTGGGATTTTTTTTTTTTTAGCAAAGACTTGTAGCGGAATACATTTTGGCCTAAATTTATGATGACTCTATTTGTTGGGAAAAAAGGACATAAATTTAATTTGGGTGCAGCGTTGCATGACCACTCTATTGTCAAAGTAATGCAGCATCGTATGAAAATGGCCTGGTCAGGAAGGGGGTAAATCCTCTGGAGGGCCAGTGGTTAAGGAGTTGATCTGTATAGATTATTTTTGGAGAAAAAGGTTATAATTTAGTGTAACTTTAAATGGCCAGCCTACCAATAGTTCATGAAAAGATCGACTTGAGCTAGTCTCCTCCATTTGCCTTGCCATCTGATGCTTTCTCTCCCCATGGGCTTAATCGCAGAGGTTTCGAACCTCTTAACTGCAACATTTTCTGGACTAATTGGTCTGTTATAGGAAGTTTAAAAATTAGACCTACTGGCCAGATGAAAATAAAGTTAAAATAAGAAAACTACTGTAGGCACCACATTGAAGGCTGGTTCACACCACCATTTTTTGCTTTATGGATGTGTTTTTGCATATGCGTTTTACACGTTTTTGATGCGTTTTCAATGCTTTCCTGTGCATTTTTCTTTTATTCTGGCAAATGAAAACTCTCGGGATAATGTGTGTTCTGGTGAATTTATTTGCATTTTGTGGCGTTCCAAATGCGTTCTAGGAAAACTGCAGCACGCTGTACTTTTTGGGTTTAGGCATGCTTGAAGTATAACTAAAGGCAACAAGTAAGTAAAGGGAGATTCACCTGACAGGTGTTATAGTCCTCCTTTACTCTCTCCAAAATACGGGGAATAGTTTTGCCTTTAGTTCTACTATAATTCAAAGCTATGCAGTACATATGAAGGGCAAAGCAACAGATTCACTTCAATGCAGTCCTTTCCAACACAGAATATTAACCTTTGCTTCCTCACTACTCCATCCAACTATTAAGAGCCAGGAAAAGAAAGCAAGCACTGTTATCTGCAAATCATTCTATTTGGAGGCTACACAAATCTAAAGGCGGTTTCCCTGTCCCCATGTTAAGCGCTGAGCCAGTCACAAAGCACTATGGCTGTCACGTGCTCCTCCATACCTGGATCTACTGGGTATTTTTATTTGCTTTCCAAAGCTGCAATGGGAGAGCAAAGGAAAGATGTACATATGAGATGATGGGAATATGGACAATAAAGTGGAATTGTTGCTTTGCCCTGCCTGGGTAAACCAAAGTGTTTCTCAAAGGCATTCCACACTTTCAAATGTTGTGTTTTTTTTTTTTTTTAACTAGGTATAGGTGTAGTTATATTTTCCTGTCTCTTACCATGTTACGATGGGCTCACTTGTCATGGCTGATTCCCTTATGTCCGTGTATCTGGTCACCTAGTGTGTCCCTATTTGCTGAAGGGACAAGACAGCTTCCTGTTCTGGGTCACACAGCATCCAATAAATGCCTCTAATTCTCTCTGTACTGCATAAGTTATAGGAGTGCTAATATAATGAAAACACATCTCTTCCCTTCATTGCGCTGTGTCAGTTCTTAAACTACAGACACAGGTAACCCATTAACATGTGCAGTGCCATGCAGCGTGGCATGTGAAGATTTACTCTACTGTATAGGCCAACAAATGACACTATGAAATTGCATGATCAATGCATATCTTATGCAGGTGAAAACATAGGGTGCAGGTAGTAAAGTTTATAATGCCTTTAATTTGGTGCATGAAGTTTTTTATTCACTTCTTCTTCTTTTTTTTTTTTTTTATTTGTTTTGTTTTTCAACTGAATATGAGTATTGTGGTATCAGTCGTTCGGAGCCCCTTTTTTGTTTTATTTAGGTACTTCTTTATATATTTTATAGGTGGGTGACCTGTCTGGTTAAAACCTTACAGAAATATAAAAGTCACGCAAACGCCAATAATTCACGGGAAGAAGGTATGTAAGACCATGGTGAAATGACAGGCATGCCTGAGGCTTCCTGTATTGGAGACTAACATGGAGAAAGGGTATTCATGTCATGCCTTGAGGCCCTCTGTCATCCTTTTCTATCTGTGTGATATTAAAGCTGTGGGGGTTTTTTTTTGTTTTTTTTTTGTTTTTGTTGACATTTTTTGTCCAACATTCACAAAGTTTTTCTTTGTGTGTGTGGGATTCATAGTGAAACAGAAATATTTAGTATAGACATTCAGAAGTACAGATGTGTTTAAAATGCATTGTATGTCGATTTTTGTGCACTTAACATTCATTTCATTAGCTGTTCTATAGCTTTAAAAACTATGCTAAGCTGCAGCATGTTAATGTGAACCAGCCGAGTTCTGTGACTTCTGCTTTAAATTCATCTTTATGCAGAAGGTGTGAATGTCTGTCTGTTTTTTTTGTTCTTGTTTTGATAAAATAGAACAATCCTATATTCCTATGTCACCTTTTAGATATGTCTTTCTGTGACAGCTCAATGGGTGCAAAGTAATTTGCTTCTTTCTTCCTAAGCATGGACAGCTTATGTAAGGAACTGGCAGAACCCGTTTCCGCAGATGAGCAAATGATGTTACATAAGAATTGTGATAGTGAAAAGGAATACAGAGGGAAATAGTTGACTATGGATATTATGATATGGTGTATATGTTTTGTAAATGTACATGTTTTTTTCCATAGATTGTTACAGTGAAACAGAGGCAGAGGATGATGATCAAGCCAAAGCTCAAGATGCGGTAGGTTGTGGTTTGTTTTCAATCATATCCTTTCCTATGAAATAACCCTATAAAAAATTAATTGCTGTGCAAATGAAAATTTTTCCCCCAATCTAGCGAATCATAGTCTGTCTGCACACCCTTTTTCCAATCTCCTAACTATGTCTGCTCAACAGCTGTATATATATCTTAAAGATATATAAGCTACAATATATGATTTAAATAGTGTGATATCCTCTATTTCTTTCGATCTGTGTGTTGGACTAAAATATGGAAACGCTACATGATTTGCAGGTGTGAAAGTGACAACATGTTTCAGGTCGAAAGTGTAAATGATGTAACTTTCTTTTGCTTCTGCTGTGTGATGAGGCACTTAGTGAACAGGTGGGAAGGCACTTTTGTCATTCACTGCGTGCGCTGCTAGTAATACAAAGTCATATCAAAGCTTACAGAGTTTCAAAGAGGGCAAATTGTTGGTGCCTGCTTAGCTGGTGACTCTGACTTGAGTTGCCAATTTATTTGCCATGTTGTGAGGTAAATTATCAAAGATTATGACGGCATATACAGTTTTCGGGAAGATGTCTGATAAGAATATGCTCTGTCAACATGGTCAACTGACCAAAAGGACATTGTGCAGGATTGTGACCCAGAATAAGAAAACAACTGCTGCAAAAAGGACTGCAGAGCTCAATCTCAGTCTTCCAAAGTCCGTGTCCACAAAAACTATGCAGAGGGAACTCCATAAGCAAAACCTTTTACGTGCTAGCTACAATTGCCAAACCACTAATGACCAATAATAATTTTCAGAAGAGAATAGAGTGGTGCAACACCCATAAATAATGGGACTATTGATCAATGGAAGACTGTAATATGGTCAGATGAATTGAGCGTCACACTGTTCCCAACCCAGACGTGTTTAGGTGTGGCAAACACCATTCCAAGCCTATCACCAGGACATGATTGTGCCAGTCATGGTTTGGGCAGCCATATCTTGGTGTTCTGCAGACCCATAGTCACCTTGAAAGATGGTCACTGCCAGCAACTATGAACAAGTTTTGGTTGACTATGTACACCCCATGGTGCGGACATTGTTTCTCGAAGACGGTGCCATTTACTAAGACTTACTACTAACCTTACCCTTTAATGGCTATGTCCTCTGAATCCTAGCCTGAGACTTATCTTAACCTTACCCCCTAATGGTTAATATCTTCTATGCCATACTTATTTTCTCTCTACTGAAAATACTTTTCTTTCCCGAGGTCATTGCCTAAAGCAGCTTCTTCCTGCTTTAAAACAAGGTACCACCAAGATGTTGTCACCATGGATCCCTTCATGATTGAAACCACTCTGTAGTAACACAGCAGTCCACAATTCTGTCTTTTTTTTTTTTTTTTTTTTTTTTTTTTCTCTCCACAGTGAACCTGGTGGAGCTTTTTTTGCAATGGTCAATATGTTGAATGTGACAGTTTTTTTTATTTTATTTTTTGCATATTTTGTTTAAAATGTTTCAGTAAACATCTAAATCCCTTGTTTTTTTCTAAATCCTTATTTCAGGTGAAAAAACAAACTGCGCAATCACCAGTGAAAAACATGCCTGACGCAAGTCCAGTCTCCACTAAGGAAAAGGGGGCAGAAGGTGTACAGATGCCAAATTTTAGCAGTCCCCAAACTCAAGGTCTGATAAGTACAATCAATAATTTGTTTTATAATTAAGGCTGTATTTAAATTTACCTTTAGACCGGCCATAGACTGTTCAATTCTCAGGCGGTTCAGCAGAAACCAGCTGAGATTCGAACCGTGTGTGGGGAGGCTGAATGTCCCAAGTTGACTGATCGATCAACTTGGGTACAACCAGCCTGCCGGATTCACTTTCAATTATCGCTAGTGGCTACTATAGCCTCTAGCAATAATCACTGTCACCATGTGAACACAGGAGGTTGGTCACTCAACATGGGCACCATTCAGAAATGCTTTACATTTTCCGAATGAACGCAAACCATTCTCTGCATGAGGTGGTGTGGTGGTGTAATGATGATTTATCTTGTCCAATCAGAAAACACGTATTAATTAAGAAAATGCAAAGAATTTTCTGAATGGCGCTCGTGCTGAGCGGCTGACCTCCTGTATTCACAATGCATCAGGTTGGCTTCTAAGCACAGGACCTGGAAACAAGTGGAGATCACTGAAGTAGCGGTGTCGCCCCTCATGTTAACCCCTTCCTGCCCAGTGCCATTAGTACAGTGTCAGTGCTTTTTTTTTTTTTTTTTTTTATGACACTGATCACTGTATTGGTGTCACTGGGCATGTCAGTGACACCAAGTCAGTTCCCCCCAGTGTCAGAATGTCCGCCACAGTTCACTATAAGCCTCTGATCACCGCCATTACTAGTAAAAGTTAAAGTCCAGTGTATATATACCGCCATTTGTAAACGCTATAACTTTCACGTAAACCAATGAATTTACACGTATTGGTTTTTTTTTTTGTTTTTTTTTTTAGCAGACATGTAGCAGAATACATTCTGGTGTACATTTATGGCAAAATTTGATTTTTAAAATATTTTTTACTAGACCTGTTTAATAGCAAAAAGTAAAAAAATTATTTTTTTTCTCAAAATTGTCAGTCTTTATTTTTTATGAATTTTATCAAAAAAAGAAATGCACAGGCGATCAAATACCACTGAAAGAAAGCTCAATTCGTGGGGGAAAAAAAGGACATAAATTTCATTTGGGTGCAGCTTTGCATAATCGCGCAATTGTCAGTTAAAATAACATCGCTGTAACGCAAAAAAATGGCCTGGTCAGGAAGGGGTGTAAATACTCAGGAGGGCAAGTGGTTAGTTAGTAATTGCTTTATGGAAGAACTCCAGGAGGAGAGTTAAACAGCTGTAATACACATATGTGACTGTTACTTGGCAAACTATTCTTTTCACACCTCTGCCATCCTGCATAGCCAGGAGAGTGGTTCAAAAACCAAATAGAAGATATAGGAACTTGTATAATTTAAATCCCTGTTAGGCTTAATTTAGAAGAGAAGTAGGCGCTCAATGGAGCATTGAACTGTGGAGAGCGAGGGAGTGGCTGGCTCAGGCTCTCAGCGGGTTTGCTGAGATGCTGAGCCAGGTGCTGCTCCAGGCATCTGGATGGATCCCGACTTTAAAGAGATCTGTCCCTAGCCTGGACCGGCTGAGTGATGTCAGCTGACAGTGGACTTTAGCCCGCTGTTGGCTGAAAATGTGTGACAGGAGTGCAGAACGAACTGCACTTCTGTTACACATAGAAGTACAGCCACATGAGCTTTAGCTGTACCTCTCTTTTTAATATTGTTGATTGTGATAGTTTTATATTTATTTTATTAAGAATTGGGGAAGTGGATGATTAACCAACTTCTTTTTCTCATTAGTAAATGATGATCTTGAGTTAATGATGACTTGTCTGAAACAAGGAGGGGTGTCACTCATTGGTAAAAAGACTGCAATGACTCGAGATGAATACCGCAAATCATTCATCAAACGAAATAAAAATCCAGACATAAATCACAAAGCACACACCTTGCGTGTTCTACAAAGTACACTAAAAGTGAGTATGTATAGATGCATAAAGAAACTAGTCCAAAATAAAAAGTTCTCTTTCCAAAACACAAGTTTTGTTTGCTTTTGAAGTACATTAGGTGCATGTGTGTTTGGGCTCTCACGAGATTTAACAAGGTGAGTCTTTAAAGCCCGGCTCCAGGTTTTGTGCCTGTCAGAGGGATCATTGTATTTTTATGAATAAATATCTTTTTTTATGAATAAGTGCTTCATCTTATTGGCTGAGGTGGAGATTGCGATATCATCTGCCTGTATCTACTCCTCTGCCAATCAAATGAAGCCTTGTATTTATTTAAAAAAAAACTTAACTCTTCATACTGCTGCATACTGTATATAGCTAAAGCCACATTCGGTTTTTTAAAGTATTCCCTTAATAAAGGAAAGCGTTTATAAAGCTGCATCCCTTAGCAAAGGAAATGGTTTTGTTTGGGACAACTTGGCCCAAATGAACAATCTAATGTAACAGCCTGGAGTTGGGTTTAAAAACAAGGCTATTTTGATGGACCACAGCCCACCTTTATAAAAAAAATTAAAGAAACACTTTGAAAACACATCAGATCTTGATGGAGAAAAATATATCATGCTGGATATCTATACTGATATGGACTGGGTAATGTGTTAGGAATGTAAGGATGCTCCATCATTTGATTTTTACGGCGTCTTTGAATTCAGTCCTCTGTAGGTTGATAATTTTCATCAAAGTGAAAAAATGATGCAACAGGCTAGTCCATTTTGCTGAAATTTGATTGCAGCAACTACTCAGTAGTTTGTATGGCCCCCACATGCCTGACAACAGCGAGCCATGCTCCTAATGAGATGACGGATGCTGTCCTGGAGTATTTCCTCACAGACCTAGACCAGGACATCACTGAGCTACTGGACAGTCTGCGGTGCAGTCAGGTGGTGTCGGATGGACCAAAACATGATATCCCAGAGGTGTTCTATTGGATTTAGGTCAGGCGATCGTGGGGGCCATTCAATGTTATCAATTCCTGCATCCTCCAGGAACTGCCTGCATACTCTTGCCACATGAGGCCGGGCATTGTCGTGCACCAGAAGGAACCCAGGACCCACTGCACCAGCGTAGGGTCTAACTATGGGTCCAAGGATTTCATTTTCATACCTAATGGCAGTCAGGGTGCCATTCTCTAGCCTGTAGAGGTCTGTGTGTCCCTCCCCAGTCCATCACTGACTCGCCACCAAAACAGTCATGCTAAATGATGTTACATGCGGCATAACGTTCTCTATGGCTTGTCCAAACCGTTTCACGTCAGTCACATGTGCTCAGGGTGAACCTCCTCTCATCTGTGAAAAGCACAGGGTGCCAATGGCGGACCTGCCAATTCTGGTGTTCAATGGCAAAAGCCAATCATGCTCTATGGTTCTGGGCAGTGATCACAGGGCCCACTAGAGGATGTCGGGCCCTCAAGCCGCCCTCATGAAGTCTGTTTATGATTCTTTGGTAAGAGACATTCACACCATTGGCCTGCTGGAGGTCATTTTATAGGGCTCTGGCAATGCTTATCCTGTTCCTCCTTGCACAAAGGAGCAGAGACCGGTCCTGCTGATGGGTTAAGGACCTTCTACGGCCCTCTCCAGCTCTCCTAGAGTAACTATCTGCTTCCTGGAATCTTCTCCATGCTCTTGAGACTGTGCTGCCTGCTGAAGTCTCCTCCCATGCTCTTGAGACTGTGCTGGGAGACACAACAAACTTTCTGGCAATGACACATATTGATATGCCATGCTGGAGGAGTTGCCTGTGCAACCTTAATAGGGTCCATGTATTGCCTCATGCTACCAGTAAGGACACTGATCCTAGCCAGATGCAAAACTAGTGAAAAACAGTCAGTCAGAAAAGATGAGAAAAATGTCAGTGGCCTCCACCCTGGGGGTCGTCTCATTGTTACCCACCTAGTACACCTGTTGTTAATTTCATTAACACCAAAGCAGCTTAGACTGATTAACAACCCCCTCTGCTACTTAACTGACCAGATCAATATCCCAGGAGTTTGACTTGAAGCTATACTCTAATTAAAAAGTGTTACTTATATTTTGTGTGTGTCTAAAATTTATGTATGTATATATGTGTGCATGTATAATTTAATTATTTTCTTTTGTATTCCCCATTAACGCGCAAGCACACTATTTTTCTAAGAAGTATGATTTGACCTTCAAATGCATTTACTAATGAGTGTTGCTTTAAACTGATTTCTTTGTAATTGTTTTATTTCCAAAGGCAAAGCTGCAGGAGCTTGAAGTTCTGAATCAAATCCTGGAGCATCCCAACTTGGACGCTGCTGCATTCCGAAAGTGGAAAGCTGAACATGACCAGCTGTATGGCAGTGTAGAAAAGGGCTCACAGGCCGCTGCAGAGAATGTGTTCAGCATGGATGTAGAAGGGAGCAATGACCAAAAAAAGCAAGAAAGTGATGATAGTGAAGCAAGTGAATAA